TAACGTCTTATGGTAACATCTAGGCAAGCCCGGTATGACCCGTGACGACCTCTTCAAGGTCAATGCCGGAATTGTCAAGGGTCTCGTCGAGAACATCGCCGAGTTTGCCCCCAAGGCTTTCATCCTTGTTATCTCCAACCCTGTTAACTCCACCGTCCCCATCGCCGCCGAGGTCCTTAAGGCCGCCGGTGTCTTCGACCCCAAGCGTCTGTTCGGTGTGACCACCCTGGACGTCGTTCGTGCCGAGACCTTCACCCAGGAGTTCTCCGGCGTCAAGAACGCTTCTGATGCCACCGTCCCCGTTATTGGTGGACACTCTGGCGAGACCATTGTTCCTCTGTTCAGCAAGGTTTCCCCCAACTTCCAGATCCCCGCTGACCGTTACGATGCTCTTGTCAACCGTATGTGAACTGTCCTTTCTGTGTGATGCATTTGCTGATATTCATTCCATAGGTGTCCAATTCGGTGGTGACGAGGTCGTCAAGGCCAAGGACGGTGCTGGTTCCGCTACTCTGTCTATGGCCTTTGCCGGTTTCAGGTATGTTTACCCCGCTAATCCGGAGCTACCACGGTGACTGACAAATACTAGATTCGCCGAGGCTGTCATCAAGGCTTCCAAGGGCGAGAAGGGCATTGTTGAGCCTACTTTCGTCTACCTGCCCGGTGTTGCCGGCGGTGATGAGATTGCCAAGGCTACCGGTCTTGACTTCTTCTCCACTCCCGTGGAACTCGGTGTAAGTCTTCAATTTTCCAGTGTGTTAAGACAACTAACTGACATGCTCGATCCAGCCCAACGGTGCCGAGAAGGCCATCAACATCCTTGACGGTATTACCGAGCAGGAGAAGAAGCTCCTTGAGGCTTGCGTCAAGGGACTTCAGGGCAACATCGAGAAGGGTGTTGAGTTCGCCAAGAACTCCCCACCAAAGTAAGCTCTCCCTCCCCCTGTCTGTTATCCATCATGTATATCAGGTGGGTCTCTTTTGTGTCGGTACATGTCTCTCTGGGTTTTCCACGGCCGCGATGACACCGGAAAATGGCAGAGCGTTGCTAACCAATCCTCTCCCGGAAAGATAGGCTTTAAATGCGAGACCACGAGTTTATGAACAATGAGCAGACACGAGTAGTGTACGGTCCGACAGATGGGTAGGTTTAGCACAAATATATGTAGCAACCAACCTGCAATGGAAAGAAGTACAGATTTCACTGTTCATATTCGGGCGTTTTTCGGTATCCTGTCTCATGTAGCCAAGAGACTTGGAATAATCAATGACCCTTGTAGTAAATTGAATGAACCACAAGGTCTTTGCAAGATGGAACTGTCATAAGTCATACAATAGGCGTAAATTGGTTGAAGGGCTAGCCCAGGCCCAGGCGCAACCATTTTCACGTTCAAGGCCGAGGCTGGAGAGTTTTGATCTGGAAGGTTGCACCTGGTAGATCTGAGGTCTCGGCCTGCACAGTCGTGTTGATACCCAAATTCGCTAATGCGCCCCGGATGATACCGCAAGGAAACCAGAGGTACTAGATGAATCTATAAGCCAAGATATCCTCATTAATTTGCAAAAGGGATATGCTTACTGCCTGCGCCATGGATATTGCTTCACTCCGCACTGCCATGCTCATCCTACCAAATGGTCGGAACGCGCTATCGGTCAAAACATAGACTCCCTATTTATGGCCCGCATTAGTTTCATGGACATCTGTGCAAGTGGATTTATGCCGCCTCTCCCCGACAACAGTTATCTCTGGATTGCACATACCCTATGGTTCGTTTTCAAATTATCCACCTGTTTCTTGAATAGGACTGTCCACAGATCCTTGCAGAGGAACTTGATCACGTCGAGATTATCGGTAAAGCGAGGACGGTCGCGGGCGAAGCTAGAGAGAATTGACACAGGTTAGCACGCTGTAGGGCTGCAAGAGAATGCAAAGGGGTTGGTGTAAAAGGAGATAGACGTTAATGGCTTACCGCTCCGCAAGACCTTGTCCAACACGATAACCCAGAGACTCTAGACGGAAGAATGTCGTCTCTCTAACCTCTTCGTCTTCCGTTTCCTTTCCCTCGGTTGCAAGTTCCCTTGCCATGCGCTCGGCCATTGGCACCAATTCTATGAGTAGGAAGTCGAAGCATGAGGAGCTGAAGACGCGGGCATTTGGATCGGTATTTAACGGGGAGGTTGAATCGATTGACATTATGAAAGAGTCAAAAGGCGACCAAATCTAGCGAATGAACAAGTGGTCCGGGTTGATGTATGGAATGGCGGAGTATTGATGGGAAGGACTGGAAATGGAGTTGGAGGGAGTTGGGGAGTCGGGAGCTGGGGAGTCGGGAGCTGGGGGGGGTCTAAGCTAACTCCAGGCCGGAATCCACCTGATATTGGCCTTTTGATCTATACAAGGAAATAGAACTTCTTGATTGTGCTATTTAAATACAAAGACAGATAGTCATGGCCAATATATTTCCGTTGATTGACCGATTAAAACTAAAATGATACAATTGCCCCTTAGATACATAGCCACTTGTGATATCTTGAAGACTCCACCCGCCAATAACTCCATGGAAATATGCACCAGAAAAAGAAATGACCAATGATTTGGTCGTCAGCTTGACACAAGCTGGACTAGAATAAGAATCTAAATTCATGGTGGGTATGATCCGCCATTCAGAGGGCTGCTGGCAGGCGGGATATGGTAATCTTGACGAGAAAAAGTTCGGGAAGGCAGATTTGTAGCTTGCCTTTTAGGAGGTGGCGCAGGAGACTCTTCATCTTCATCGCCGCTTTCAGTCAGGTCGATGACCTGAGAAATAGGTCGCTTTTTGCTGGACATGCGCATCACAGAGGACGGGGTTGATGCCTCTCGTGACTGCGACTGCGACTGCGCAGGTGTTCGCTCCAGGGCGGTCTTCGGGGCTCCTGGTTCTTGTTTTACAGTAGGCATACCTGGTTCGCTGATTTCGATCAGGTCGTCGTCATCGTCATCTGATGTGGGAGTCATCCCTCCCAATTTGTTTGCGTCAGAATCACTGGGCTTTGACCATACACCGTCGGGCTCAACCGTGACTTGATCGATGTCCGATGACGTTGACTGAAGGATGTCATCAACGTACCTATGCGATCAGTCAGGAAAAGAAATAGATATGTCAATGAGAGGCACGTGGGACTTACTGGTCAACTTGCAGAGACTCAAAGCTAGTCGATTTGGAACACACAGGGCAGGTCCAAGTTGGAGCTTGTTTTTGCAATTCAAGGAATGAAGATGCATCGAAGCATTGGTTGTGTGTGCAAACGATAGAGCGGCAAGGTACCTGGATGCGCAGGGTAGATAGAGGGCATTTAAGTGACATGACACTTGATGTCGCGACAATCTCCGAATCGTTTGCGCGATTTTGCACTGGAGATCTAGATTAGCATGATATAATATAGGGAAGGGAACGGGGGGATTCTTACTTTCGCGCAAGACTTGCTCCTTCGAGATGATTTTCCGTGTCTTCAACTGCGATACAAGATCTTCGGTCGGATGTTGCTTCACGAGGTTGGCAAGCGCAAAGAATTTCTGTGTATGGAGTTAGTCAATCGGCCTAGCAGATGCTCTACCAAGTAGAAATGGAGGGAGTTCATCCAACCTTTTGTGTCAACGCGTAAGTCATGACGATATTATTTGGGTAATTGGGCTTTTTGCGGATCAAGTTCGTGACATCTGCAGGTTGTGTAGTCCCCGGCCTGTTTTTCAGACCTCTCAGATTGGCTTTCACTTCATCGAGATTTACTTTGAGCTCCACCTGATGTGGAAATGCAATGTCTGACTTGGTGTATTGTGTGAGGCCTGAATCACCGGCGCAATAAACCATTACTCGAAGATTTGCGTCTGTTTGCAGGCTATAGGCAACTTGCTGAGATAGCATGACCTTCAGTTCAACACTATCCCGTGTTTGTTCGCGAACTGGATAAGATTAGATACGGATCTTCAACAAGCTCCAAAAATGCAAAGCAACATACCTTTACATTCCACAACTGCGGTCAAAGGCTCCAGGATTGTGTAAAATGGACTTTCTTTGAAAATCAAAGGACCTGGAGATATATGAGCCGCCGTAGGAGGATTCATGAGAGGAGCACTCGGACCGGACGAGTATGGGTGAGGCGACATGGAGACCCCAAGCGGCGCAGGTCGAGTTTGTGCAGGAGATTGAGAGACAGGTGACGGCTGGTATTGTGGTCTAGAGGGTGACTGATATTGCACAGTGTTTGGGAAAGCAGTCGCACGAATGCGCCTGGCTAGAGCATCGAAATTGACAGGGTCGGATTCCGCGAGGGATTGGATGCCTATTTCGTTGGTCAGTATAAAGATGTTTGCAAGAATAGGCTGCGAAACAGGGAGTTGAAGAAAAAAGGATTGCAAAACATGCAAAGGATAGAATAGACGAGCCATAACAAGAGTCGGGGAGAATTAACGAACGTTGAATAATGCGGAACTGTAGGGTTGCCTTCAACCCGGATACCTGGAGGCCCTCATACCTCAACAAATCTTTCAGCTGTGGATTTGTAAGAGGTTTGATGAAGGCCGTGAGTGTTGCAACCTCTGACGACAGGCTGGTCGACATGGCTGCTTATGACTGCGCGCGCAGATAAGAGAAGTGCGAAAGCAATCAAGGACTTGGTTCAGGGTTCCTCGAGAGACAAGGGTCCAATTCAGCCAGGCCAATTGTAAGGGCTCTGCATCGATACATCTCTCGACTGGAGTGAAAATGCGAAAGGCCACAAACCCCAGTCACAAAAGGGTGAGGTCGAGTCGACACTCGGAGGTGAACCCGTCCTTGGAAGTGCGGTCTCCGGATGACATAAGACGAGCCTATCGGAAAAAAAAAGTTGATTGTGTTATCAGTTTGACCATTTTATTTCCCACCCGACATCAGTTTCAACATCGGTTTTAACATTCTTGCCCATATCCTCACATCTTGATACCCTATTTACCCCCTTTTCCCCTTCTATATCTTCATACAATGGCCAAAAGTGTCCGAGCTAGCGTTTCCAAGCGCAACAGAGCCAATCTGCGCACCAAGATCTTCGGCCCAGTGGTCGATGCCAGAACCGAGAGACTCGCTGCCAAACTACAGGAGCTTGCAGCACAGCCGCGGCCTGAAGCCCCTAAGAAATCAAAGAAAGAGCAAGAGATCGAGGATGGTATGTATACTACCATCATATTTCAAGGATACCTACTTACCTCATATTACAGCAGTCAAGGCCCAGACCGCCGACAGTGAAGGTTAGTCTATGACAATTCAACTTATGAATCATACCTCCACTGCAGAATGCTTACCCGCCCAACACAGAGATGGATATCGACACACTTAAGTCCAAGAAAAAGCCGGAGCGTGTGCACAAGCGCAACCAGAAGCCCCGCAACTCGATTGTTTTCCAAAAGCGTCTCGGTACAACCATGAAGGGTCCCAAGAGGAAGTGAGGCGTGTGCCGAGTGAGGGGCAACGAATGGATTATTGATGAGATGGTGTGGCGGAAAGAAGAAAAAGGCGTTTGGGAGTCCACGATTACACCTGCGATTCACGTACATATGTTTCATAGTCTATGTCTGATATACCATTCCTTTTCATTAAAGGCTTGAGATATTACTTGGATTTTGCTCGGTGGGAAAAGAATAACCTTAGTGTGGCCGGGGAGCCAATATAGGTTGCTCTTAAATTCCAAATCACTGATAAGCAACCCTAGTCAAGATTAATTAGCGAATTTGTGGCATCATCCAACACTGTTCACTTCTATCTTATGAATAGAGGGGTCAAATCTTGAAGTAAATAGTAAATGTAGACCTCTATATGGAGTATAATATACAAGGTACTCGAGAAGGCGGTGTGGTGGTGCGCGTCGATCATAAACATGATTCTGCCTCCTTTTGGATCCCCCGGACAGTTCGACATGTCCATTTGATTTGGGGTTATTTACATCAAATCCGTCCTGCCAGTGTTAAAGCCAGTCAATTTGCAAAATGGCGGGCTTCCGCAGCTGGACGACGGTCATTGCCAATTTGTTAGTGCCCGTGGGCATACTTACCTTCTCTTCAGGATTCTTCCCTTATAAGCCGTTGATCCCTGGATTAGCGACTTTTGATGAAACAGGCGCAAATGCTACAGCACCTGCGATGTTTGACAAAGTTATCTTCATGGTGGTTGATGCGCTACGGAGGTATGGTTGGAATCATTCAACCCCCAACTATACCAGTAATTAACAAGCTGTCACATCTAGCGACTTTGTATATTCGAACGACTCGGGTTTCTTGTTTACACAGAGGTGAGTGTCACGTTTGAAATGCACCCTTTTATTATTCGAAATAAATAACTGATTTGATACTAGCTTGATCCGGTCCGGTGCTGCATTGCCGTTCACTGCCTATGCGAGCTCTCCGACTGTTACAATGCCTCGGTTAAAGGCCATCACAACTGGTTCAGTTCCATCATTTTTAGATGTTATTCTCAACATTGCCGAATCAGACACCACATCAACACTGGCATACCAGGACACCTGGTTGGCACAAATAAAGGCCGCAGGAGGACGGCTTGTGATGTATGGGGACGACACTTGGCTCAAGCTCTTCCCGGGGATGTTTGACCGAGCTGATGGAACTACAAGCTTCTTCGTGTCGGTCAGTTGTACTTTAGGTGTTTGTGTATCCGCAGTATTAGTATTGAAACTGAGCTTCTTCTCGCAGGACTTCACCGAAGTAGATCATAATGTGACTCGACACGTTCCTAACGAGCTTGCCCAGGATGACTGGTCTGCTTTGATCATGCATTACCTGGGTCTGGATCATATAGGACATAAGGCTGGCCCGAAAAGGTAAATCCAGCTCTCTACCTCATTATTAGCTGCTCATTCAACCTCTAACTCTCATAGTCCCTTCATGATACCGAAACAGCATGAGATGGACTCTGTGGTGACTGAAATATATACTGCAATGCAGCAACAAGACCATCTCCAATCCACACTTTTCGTGTTGTGTGGAGATCATGGCATGAACGAGGCTGGAAACCATGGCGGATCCTCTGCCGGTGAAACATCCCCCGCGTTGCTTTTCGTGTCACCCAAGTTCGAAGCCTTGGGTGGCCGCAGAGAAAGCCCCACGGAACCGTCAGGCGATATGCAGTATTACCAGACGGTTGAGCAAGCGGACATTGCTCCAACCTTGGCGGGGCTTCTTGGTATCCCAATTCCTTTAAACAGTCTTGGTGTGTTCATCCCGGACTTTTTGGAGATGTGGGATAATGGTATGGACTCTATTCCTAAACGCACCAAAAGCGAAAGACAACAACGAACTGACTAGGAAATAGGTTCTCATAAACTTCGAATCTTATATCAAAATGCCGAGCAGCTATTGAACACATTGACAACTACATTCCCTGGATCTACGTTTAGTCCCGATAGCATTACATCCTGTGCTTCGGGAGTTTCATCAGGTATTGAGGGAGCTCAATGTGCTTGGGCCCGAGTCCAGCAAGTTCTCTCTAGCAGGGATGAAGCAGATGATTCTTACTCTACGGCTGGACCCGCTTTGTTGCATTTCTTAAAGATTGCACAGGAGGTTATGAGCCGAACTGCTAGTAACTACGATGTCTCGAGACTCGTTCTGGGTCTGTTGATCACGGGAGTTGCAGGCCTGCTTGTACTTCCGGCCACATACAAGGAATGCACCCGTCACGGATCTTCCGGGATGTTTTTGATGCTCATGATCATCACTTGTGGGATGATGATGTTTGCGAGTAGTTATGTGGAGGAAGAGCAACAGTTCTGGTATTGGATCTGCTCGGGATGGATTGTCTACCTGCATATCAAATCGCAATCATCTGCAAACCCGGTGTCACGCAAACGCTTTGGATCATTAGCATCTTGGTCTAACAAATGCATGATCCTTGTGCTCGCAATCACTCAGCGGCTCTTGCGACGTTGGAACCAAACGGGACAGAAGTTCGCGGCTGAACCTGATATTGCTCGCACCTTCTTTGTGCGCCATCCAGAAATCTTCTGGGGTCTTTATATCCTCACATATGTGGATGCCGGTCGTCATCTTCTCAAGAGTATACCAATCTCTGGGATCTTGAAGCTCGGTGCCTTGGCTCCTGTCGTGTTGGCCTTTACATTCAAATTGCACTTTGTGACTTCGGAATCCCCCGAACTCCTTGATGGGACGTTCATCTCGCAAATTGTGAAGGAATGGCCGTACAGTCTATCATTGGTTTCCCATGCCAGACTTGTATTTTACGGACTTGCTCTCGTTGTTCTGCTAGCGCTCTTTGTCAGAAAACGATCCAGAGTTGCCCAAGGTAAGCCCATACATGTCCTAGATTTCCTCCGAGCTCGGAGTCCTTACTGACCAGAATCTCTAGGACCACATGATACAATCCATGAAGCTCTACACATCTTCCTAATGACGCAGTCTCGCGCCACTAACGTCCCGTTGTTCCTCATTTTCCGAATCCAGGCCGGGATTCTCTCTTCCATGAACCTCACCGGGATTGAAGTGACGATCACTACCTTGATCTTCCAATACATGACGTTCTTCGCGTTTGGCGGCTCCAACGCAATCTCCTCTGTGGACCTTGCTAGTGGATATAACGGTATTGACAGCTACAGCGTGGTACTCGTGGGGATTCTCACCTTCGCAAGCAACTGGGCAGGACCTATTTGGTGGGCTTCACAGAGCCATCGTCTCCGGCCGACGAATCCCGCAGAACAGAACCCCTCAGCACTGTTGACCTTCCATGTCACCATGTCCTTGGTTTCTGTCATGGCCGCCTGTACAGCCCTCCGGACGCATCTTTTCATCTGGACCGTTTTCTCCCCCAAATATCTCTACAGTATGGCGTGGGCAACTGCTAATCATGTTGCTGTCAATTTACTGGGGGAGGTTATTTTCTCTCGATCTCGATCTCATTATTCATAAAAAAACAATATTTCAACATAGAAATACAACGCCTGGACATACACCCCTTGGAATCCGTAAAAAAGCAAACACTGTACATAGAGGGGTATGAGACTCAAAATAAACCGCTGAATAAATCATCGATAGCGTTCTTCTTCTTCTTCTTTTTCGATGTAGTTTTTGAAACACCATCCTCGGTGAGCTTTTCCGTGGTCTTCTTAGAGACTTTGGAGACTTTGGATACCTTGGAGACCTTGATATCAGACTGCAAAACCTTGACCGGGCGGGTGAGTGGCGCTTCATCAATCCGACGAATGCGTTCTCCAAGATCTTCCTTTGCGATAACCGGAGTAATCTTAGACTTGCTTGCCACAGGTTGCACCTTCAGCTGATGACTGATCCCGGTAATTTTCGACAATCGCGCCAAGGCAGCTAGAAGCACGATTCCAAGGGTAGAGAACTGGTTATCGGCAACTACAGTTGAAAAAGCGCTAAGTAAAAAGTCAGTCTAATTCGACAAAATAGTAGGACTATTCATACATGTAACATCTTGGGATTATGTGAGTGGCCAGGTGGGATTTTACCCCCGATCGGGCGAGATCCAAGGTGGCGCGCTTCAAGACGGATAACCATTTCCACCATTTTGTTCGGCGATGTTGATTCTTGTTGCGGTGAAAGATTAAATGCAACGTTGAGTGGACTGCTAGGATTTCCTTGGAGTCCATGTTTTGTGTAGGGAGTTGGAAAAGATGAAAAGTGGGTTTTTTCCCGACGTACTTTTTATGTCTTCTACTTCTACTCTCTACCATTAGACTTAACATAATCAAACATTTCATTTGGCTAACTAGCTCCCTCATTTTTTTTTTCCAGATTTTCCAGATTTTCAGAAAAAAGCAATAGAAATAGCAAAAGCAGAAAAAGCAGAAGACGCAAAGACGCAAAGACGCAAAGACGCAAGGCCAAGAATGGCAAAGGCACAACGAGGCCATTAATGTTGAGCACAGTTAATGGTAGGAAACATGAAGTTTCTGTTGGCCAAATGTATTTGGTGGAAGGGGAAATGAACTGAAGTCCCAGATGTTTTGGGGGTTTTTTTTCTCTCTTTTCATCTTTTTTTTTTTGGATAACGAAGTCTGTGTTGCCCTCTCGAGTAGACCGGGCGAACACAGTCAATCGTAATCTTTTTCATAGGTAAGAGAGAAAAAAAGGGAACGCAATTGTCAATTTCAAGCCAAGCCTTGGACTCTTTTTTGGTTTTTTGGTTTTCATTTGTCGCAGAACTGAGGATCGAAGATTTGTCGGCGAATGTCTCTTGAAGTCTGTTCGGGTCCAACAGGACAGAGATGGATTGTCGGATTATTCGTCGACGAGAGCATTTTTTACGAGGAAAGCGCGAACTGAACTGAATTTTCAATGCAGAAACCCATGAAGAATGGGGGTTGTTAGCCTCGTGGTGAGGGCTTAATTCTTCTGCGAGGTAAATTGACGATCCTCTGCCTGCATCGAAGCAAACTCGCCAGGGGCATGCTGGACCGATCGTCCAGCAGAATGCCGGGGAGTGCGGATATAACCTCGATTTCGGGGTGTCTGGCTGAATGACTGAGACTGAGGACGCGTGCGGTTGTTGCGAGGCGTAGTGGGACCTCGGGTGCGAGGTGCGAAGAGGCCTATGAAGGGGTCAGGACAGGTTGACAAGTCAAAGGGCCTGATATCTTACCTTGCTGAGTAGTGCTAGCAACTGAACGACGCAGCTTACTGGCATCATTGGGGCCTGGGAAAGCCATTTCGGTTCCTGCACGAGGGCCGTTGATATGGAAAAGCTATATTCAGTCAATATCGAGACTGCAATAAGACAAGAAAGGATGAGACTTACTCGAGGTCGTTCTTCATGAGGACGGGTCATAACGTTGCTATTCCGGAATTTGCTAATCAGAGCGTCCTTCCCTTGGAGTGCTATTGAAACTTGTCAGAAATCATTCCCATTGATCACGGATGGGACACGAACTAGCATAAGAGACCTCAGTTCTCTTTGTGGAGATGCAGTTTGGCCTGTAATTGTCTCAAGTCAGCAAACGTGCAATTTTCTGGGGAAGATGAGGAGGGTCATACCAAGTTTTGCCCTGTCGAGCGCGAACAAGCTAAGGGAAACTGGTAAGTACATGCCACACACTGACCCGTGATATAACTTACATCGAGAATATCGATTGGCTACACAAGATGTTAGTAAAATATCGGACGAAAGGGATGTCAGATGAAAGGGATCTCAGCAGAATTACTCACATCGCCAAAGTTCATAAACGCATAACCAACGCTAGAAGGACAAAGGATCAGTAACATTGAAAACCAACAATGAACACTCAGAACTTACTTGCAACGATGAGTGAAATCTAGGCACCGCATTAGCTAGAACAAGCAAATAAATCATCGAGAAGAACTTACCCATGCGAAGATAGAGGAAGTCATACTTCCCATAACTGGACTCATCAATGATCCGCTGGAGCTGTTCCTATTGATCACATCGGATTAGCCTTCATGGTCTTAATAAGAAGATGGAGATAGTCATACCGAGGAAAGCTTGTTGGGAATATTGCGGATCATAACCTGTAAATGAGACAATATGTGAGAAATCGGTCTGGCGGCAGAGTGGAGAAAACTTACGGTGCTGCGAACATCTAGTCCATGCCTGATTCGATCGAGATCAATCGCGTGCTCTGGATTCGTCTTGCCCTCCTCAAAAGAAGGAGAAATGTCGATCTTCTCCTCGACCTCGTTCTCCTTGGACACGAGGTGGTATGGGGTCACAGGGCTCTGAGGGGAAACACGAGCACGACTGGGAGTTTGATTGTGAGACAAAGTAGGCTCTTCTTTCGCGTCAATTGGGGAGACACCGAAATGAAGACTCTGCATGAAACCGATATTAGCATTGTGCTTGTAAGAACAGAAAAATAAGAAAAGAAAATACATCGAGCCTAAACCCACCAAGGCAGGAGAAAGCATAAGCCGCATGACGCACGTTGAAATATTCCACGTGGTATCGATTCATGTTCGTTCCAGTCTCGATAAGCTTGCATGAACGCAGTTTGCCAAGGGAGGCAACAACATCTTCGACCACCCCATCCATAGGCTCCATGAGCCACTGGGTGGTGAACACAGAAAGCCAAAATGCACCATCGGAAGGAGCAGAAGCGGATCCATTGGTTTCGTTCAAGTTGGAGATTTCTCGGCCAGTGCACGGGAAGACGCGCCATCCAGGACGGGTTGAGCGAATTTTGTTCATGGCATTGATGGCATCTCGAAGATCGCCAAAGGAAAACGAGAACACGCCCTTAGTCCCAAGCTGCTTGAGGCAAACATTCTCAAGGGAAGGATACTCCTCAATCTTGATAAAGTCAGCTCTTGTCTATCCCATTATCAGGTTAGTATTGCAACTTACAGGGAGCATCATAGTGATAGAGCGGTGCGAAGTGTCGAGAGGGACATTGTGCACGATAAAGGATCGATTCTTCTCGGTAGATTCATGAATTCCACCACTGAAGGATCGTGAAGCGGGGATACCAGCGCTGCGACCAGCTTGGTGATCGGTGCTTCCATAAGTCAGCGCATTTGCAGGTGCAACATTTGCATCTCCAGTTGCGGGACCGTGAGTGTTTGCGAACAAGCTAGATATGAAAGCCGGGCTAGGGCTATATTCATAACTAATTCCCTCACGAGATGGTGAATAGCGAGTGTTGGCAATAGCTGTCTGAACAGGAGAAAGCAGGTAGTGTGGATCACCCAAATGCATACGATTGTGAGTCAATGCATGAGGTGAGTACTGCATTTGATCCACAGACCGAGACGCTTGGACATGAGAAGGCGAGTATCGCATTCCACCAGAACCAGCATTTGTAGGAGAGAGCTGTGGGGAAGTCGACGAATACTCAAACTGGTTGGCCGATGCATGAGTATTTGCCTGGTCAAGAGTTGCGGGCGCAATTTGAGTTAGCGCATTGGAGGGGTCGAACGCCTGGGCCGCATAGGCATAACCGGAAGCAGAGCTTGTAGGGATCGTTTGAGAAGGTAAGGTAGGCGCGGAGCGCTCGTTAGACCAACTAGCAAACGGATCACTGTAACGCCATAAAGTGTTAGGGCTTTGTTTCTTTAATGAATGTATAAACGAGCACTTACCCGATTGGGCGGATAGAACCAATTCCAGGGAACGGAACGGGATCTCCCCGGTTAGCGAAAGCATCATACCCAATGGGGTTGAAAGCAGTTAGCTGCTCAGATGGCGAGCCTCGAGTTGACGAGGGCTTCTCCATGTTTGAATCTAAAGTAACGCGAAGGTGAGCCGACCATAGTGTTGAAAGAACGATCTTGGGACATACAGGCTTGGAAATGGTTTCCACGAGGGCGGGAGAGCGCTATGAAGCGATTGAAGATGCAGAGGGTACAGAAGCGACTTCTGAAAGGACGGGTGACAGGAAAATAAAAGAGAAAGATGGTCAGCGTTGGCGAGGGAAATAATCTACTCTATATATACTTCGTTTATGGCTGCAACAAGGCGACTAAGCACGCAACAAACGAACTATTTAGGTACCCCGCCAAATAAACAGGTCACAAGCGTGTAGACTTTGGGTGGAAATTGCTATTCTTTTCACATTCGCTTAATCAAAAGTCTCAATGTTCTACGTAGGAGATTCGTGCTATATATGCCATTGTACGACCAAAGCACTGTTGTCTTTACAGTCTGTAAGAAAAGCAATTATATAGAATAGTGTGAAAAGCAGATTAAAACCATGTGCAGGGAGAAAAGGAATGAATCTTATACATATTATACTACTTACCTAGGTAGGTACATATGTTGGAACCTTGGAAAGTATAGACATTGACGCTAATGACGACGCTAGTACGGAATAGGACTAGCGCAAATCTTCTGTAGACATCCACCGAGGAAAATTGAAGCTTTTTGTAGCGGCTCTGGAAGTAGTCGGGCATGACTTTAAGAGATTTATGCGACTAGGACAGCTTTAGCGCCTAGGACTTAGTAAAATGTAGAGATTTGTGCGAGGATAGCTTCAGATTCTTCAAATATAAAGATTTATGCGGGCTTCAATACCTAGGGGTGGATTAGGGAGACTTGCGCCGTCGGAGAGGTTCCAAATCATCTATAATCGGGTGAGTACAGAGATTTGCAAGGTAAGAATAGCTTCAATCTTATCAAATATGGAGATTTGTACGGTCGGAAGAGCTTTAATTATAGAGAATGTTTATAGTACGCCGTGCGTTGGGCCGAGTATAGTTAGTTAGAGCGATGTCGAAAGTGGTGGCCTAGATCAGATGGCACCAACGCTTGAAATATCAGGCATCAACCTTGGCAAGTCGCCTTTCAAAGGCGGTAATGCACATTGGTGGCAGATCGAACGTCTGACCGCCTGTGGACGTCAATGAGTACCTATAAGCTTGAGATCATCTACTCTAGATAAAGTTGCAAGCCTAGCAAGTGGGAAGTATTGACTATCGGGCTTTCCTTCGGCTATGAAGTTGAGCCATTATGCCACCCATGGCTCCAATGCTCAATGAGCCACATGTTTTGAACCAAGTGAGCCAGCCGAGCACGTTGGAGGATGTACCTCAACTGACTTTCTTGTCCTTAGATTATCATCTCACCCTCCGATACAGACTATCTGGATCAGCTCATCCCTTCAATCAGAGATTACAGCGTTGGAAACCGCACTCCACAACTCCTGCAGTCACTGTCCCGGTTCGCCGGCAACAAGGAGTCCGAGATCGAAAGCATATGCAACACAAACCACCAGGAGTTCGTCTCATCTGTCAATTCACTGCTTCGAATTAGAGAGGGGACAGTGAGCTTGACAGCAGAGATTCTGGACTTAAATCAATCTATCCAAACCAGTACCGAACGCCTAGCCGAGCAGAAGAAAGCACTGGTGGAGTCGCGTGGCCACCGACAGAACATTGATGAGACCAGTCGCGCCATTCAGGATTGCTTAGAGGTGCTGCGTCTAGCCAACCAAGTCCATGATCTTTTGGCAAAGAAAAACCACTACGCAGCGTTGCGGGCGCTGGAGGAATTACAAAATGTCCATTTGAAGGGGGTGACTCAATACAAGATTGCAGTCATGATACAACGCTCAGTTCCCGCGACACAGAGAGCCATCGCGGAAGCAGTGATGTCAGATCTCAACACTTGGCTTTATCGCATTCGAGAAATGTCTCAATACCTGGGGGAAATTGCGCTCTTCCACACAGACCAGCGGAAAACAAGACAAAAACAAAGAGCGGAAAGAATCCCTTATCTAGAGCATTTCAATTTAAACTCTGCGATTGAATTGGTGGCCGATGAAGATGAAGAGTATGACCTACTCCAGAATGAAGATCTACAGGTTGACTTCACGCCGCTGTTCGAGTGTTTGCATATCCATCAATCCTTGGGACATATGGATAAATTCCGAGTTGAATACGCGACCACCCGCCGAAGACAGAAAGAACTTTTGCTTCCGTCTTCCATCACCCTTGTTGATGAAGATGGTTCTAGTCTGCACAATCTCTTGGAAGAGATGGCCGGATTTGCCATTGTTGAACGGGCCACAATGAAAAGAGCCCCCGATCTTAGGTCGTCCGTCGATGTAAGAAATCATGTTTCCCTTCCCTTTGCTTTCTTTCCAACGAGGGGCCTTCCAGAAATGATCTGACCTGTGCCTCCAAATAGATTGACGAGCTGTGGGATTCGATGTGCCAAGGGGCTGTAGTGTTGATATCGAAAGCACTTCATGAAGTCGACAACGCTGAAAGTATTCTCAGCATCAAGAATCTGATTGCTCTATTCATGCAGACGATGAATGTAGGTAGACCCATTTCTATTATCATGGGCTCAAATGACTGATATACATATCGCAGACATGGAACTTCCCCGTGCGGGTTTTTGATGACTTCTTGTTGACGCTCTTTGGCAAATATGCCGAACTCCTGAAGAAAAGATTCAGTGACGATTTCCAGGAGGTACGGCTGCTCCCCCCTACCAATCTATTTTAGATGCTGACACTGCCAGATTGTGTCAACGGATGATTATATGCCCATGCCCATACAGACCCAAGAGGAGTACGACAAAGTCCTTAACGTCAGCTGGTACAGCCCTGAGCAACCTCGTGAGGAACAAATGTAAGTTGTAAATCAACCAGGGCCGATTGGTCCTTATTCAGACCTAGCTGATCATTGACTTGTTTTAGATTCCCATGCATATTACCATTCTCCCGAATGTATCCGCTGTGTTGCATTGATATCCATAATTTCCTGAACCAGTTTTATCTCTTCGCGAGTGACGGCTTCGCGAATACAAATGTGATTGATGAGACACTGAAGAATGTGAGTTCGAACCAACATACTCAAGACCTATGACTCAACAACTAACCTAGCAGGATCTGGATGACCTCCTTTCACAAGAAGTCTGCGACACTTTAGTGGAGCGTCTTTCCTCGCAATATCTAGGTCAGATCGTTCAGATTCTAATCAACCTGGAACACTTCGAGCTAGCTTGCCGCGAGCTGGAACTCTTATTAGCAGCAGCCCGATCACAGAACTCCACCGGCATCTCAATCGCGTTGAGGGCTACTGAAAAGTTCAAAAGCAACAAGAAGGCGGCTGAGAAGCGTATCTTCGAGGTAGTCAATTCCAAAATCGATGATCTTATCGAGACAGCTGAGTACGAGTGGATGTCACCTACACCTCCCACAGAGCCGAGCAACTACATGCAAACCTTGACTCGTTTCTTGTCCAATATCATGAACTCTACGTTGTTGGGTCTGCCAACGGAAATCAAAGAGCTTATCTACTTTGACGCTCTTAGTCATGCTGCCAACATGATTCTGGTGAGATTTTTATAAACCCTAATCCATTGGAACAGAGACTTATTGACTGGCCATACAGGCGCAACCATTATCCCCAGATGTGAAGAAAATCAATCCTAACGGAGTGGCAGCATTAGCAAAAGATGTTGAATACCTGGCCGAATTCGTGGATAGCTTAAATGTCCCGATTCTTCGCGAGAACCTCGACGAGCTACAGCAAACCGTGCAGTTGATGCAAGCGGACAGTGCAGACGAGTTTTACGACATTTCTACGAGGAACAAGAAATATGGACGCGTTGACGCCATGCAAGGGCCCATTTTGCTGGAAAAGTACGGTTTGAAATCTACATCTTATTGCCGTGAATTACCTGCTAACTAGTCGTGAATAGGCTCACACGCAGTGTTCAAGCCCCCACCAAGGTGGATAAGTTTGCAACTCTTTCATCGCGCTTCAAGAAGACTGGATAAATCTATGAGTGTGTTATGTGTAATGCCACGTTTACCTATAAGAAGAATAGTTGGCCGCTTATGCGGCCTTATGCTTGTGATATCTTTCAGTGGTCTTCCCAGTGGTATTTTCAGTGAGCTTCTCAGATATTCTACTTAGATGTCTCTTTTTAAGATATCTTCTCTCCCATCTTATTTTTATGCAGCATAGGTAGGTAGACAGCAGAAAGAAAGAAGAGGCTTAATTGGTGAAACCCACTTTTCTATGCATAAAACTTCCAGGGTCGAACCTGCTCATTCCGTACATAAAAGATTCCTGGGGAATATCAGAAAGATCGGGAGTCGCTTAATCACCACTACAGCATTGCCCTTGCCTTGCGTGGGAAAATAAAATAATAAATCAAATAAGAACAGTAAGAACAGTAAGAAACAAAAAGAAAACGGACCAAAATTCGCCTTTGAACGCGATCAACTACATGAATAAAACGACAGACTGGACCATGTGCGGATGACACATTCACTTGACGGTCAAAATTAGCTTGTCTGCTGAAGATGAGAGATGTGACAACTACGTACCTGCTGAGGAGGGAGATGCGGGTAGGCGTACATCCCCTCGAACATTTGGGACTGAGGCTGACCATACGCCGCGGATGGGTCTGATTGAACGGCTCCGGGATACATGGCAGGTTGCGGACGGTATTCCTGCTCCTGAGGCATACCGTGCTGGCCAAGGGAGGCGTAGTCGGCAGGGCCCATGTGCTGCTGGTGCGGTTGAACCCCATGCGGGGCAGGGGGCAGCTGACCGGGGGCAGCAGAAGGTCCTGGGGCGGTACCAGCAGCCTGACTCGACCGTTTAGCATGAGAGGTTGCCTCTTCGCGGGGAACTATATCAATCAGGAAGTCAAACATGTCCGATTTGGACAGAGCAGCGGCGATGTCGGATCGCTGCAGGGTACGACGTTTGTTGTCCTCGGCGTGGATCCAGGCGCGCATAGTCAGCTCGGTGA